TAAAGATGAAGGGCCTGATGCTGCTTTTACTCTCATCAGTGTAACCCTGAAATAATCAAGATCAAAATCTGTCTAAAGAACTTTAATGATACAGTAGATATGACTTAGAGCAGTGGTCTCCAACCTTTTTAACCACAAGATCACTCTTTCAATTTAAGTGCAATGTAAGATCTACCTCAGACCTAAACCCCTTGGCCCCACTTCCTTCCCGTCCCTTCTTTGAGGCCCTGACCCTGTTCCACCCTTTCCTGAGGCCTCACCCATCCTCACTCACTTTCACCAAGCCGGGTAGGGGCTTGGGGTGCATGCTCTGGTCTTGGGCCAAGGTGTTTGGCGTGTGGGAGAGGCTCTGGGCTTAGCCCAGGGTGGAGGATTGGGGTCCAGGAGGCGTTTCACGGTGCAAGCTCTGGGAAGGAATTTGAGCGCAGGGGGACTCACGTTTGGGGCAGGAGGTTGGGTGCAAGAGGAGATTCAGGGCTGAGACGGAGTCAGGAAGCAGACTCTGGCAGGGCACCATTTAACTGAGACAGCTTCCAGGCAGTGGAGCAGTGGGGGTAAGGCAGGCTTACTTCAGCTCTGGCCCTGCACCACTCCTGAAAGCAGCTGGCATGTACAGCAGTGGCTCCCTGGCACTATGTGCTGCCCCTCATCTACAGGCACTGAGCCCACAGCTTCCACTGGCCACGGTTCCCTGTTACTGATCAATGGGAGCTGCAGGAGCTGTGCCTGCAGGCAAGCACGGCATGTGGAGAACCCCCCCCCCCTCTGCCTCTCAGAGGGCGGGGGTGAGGGGCTGCAGGGACATGCCAGCCACTTCCAGGAGCAGCAGTTACCATAGGGATAATTACTCCAGCCATGACAGCTTAGGCATTTTAGAACTCACTACTCAAAACATTAAATTTAAGCGTAAGAGAGAAATGAAAATTATAAAATGCACAGACTGGTCACAAACCAAAACCAACACACTTTGCAAGCAGTAAAAGAAATAACCACCACCACCCACATATGTGTTGGATTGGGAGATGAGAGTGAAGGACTGTGTGTGTTTGTGAGAAAGGGGAGGAGGGTGTCCCTCCTCCCCCCATCCTCTTAGCCCTGTGTGGGAGTACAGAAGTGCGGGGGAGAGGAGGGAGGGACACCCTGACATCAGAACCTCCCTCTTCTCCCTCCCACATCCTGCACAGCAAGCAGGAGGCTCCTAGGGGAGGCAGCTCCAAGCAGAAGGCAGGAGCAGCATGACAGTGGGCGGAGGGGCAACTGATATGCCAGCACTTGATAGATTCCTGGCCAAACCTGTCAGGATCACTTGTCAGAGGCTCCAAGATCTACTGTAGATCCCAATCTGCTGGTTGGTGACCACTGACAGAGCATCTGTCATGCCTAGCCACCCAGTGTCACCACAGTAGGATTACAACTCATACTGAACACCTTGCTGCTGGTAAGTAGTGAGGGAAGGTGTGCATTTAGATCCACAGAAAGTAAAGCCATATACAAGGGACATTTCTGTATTTTCCAGTCACTTTGCAGCCAGCTGTGTGGCCAAATTAAGGCTTATCTTGACCTCTGTTGACAAGTATTGATAGCCTTCCTTCACCCTCCGCTCACCTGGGCTATGCCTATGCTGCAGCTGGGACTGCATCTCCCTGCTCAGGCAGACAAACTCACAATAGTGAGGCTCTAGTGAGCACACTAAAGAGAGCAGCGTGAATGCTGCAGCTCTGCCAGAGACTCGGCTAGCCACCTATGTGCAGACGGGGCCAGGTGGGTTTGAGGCAGGAGGGACAGAAGCCCCTGAAAAGTGGAGCCCCACCCCTTCCCATTGTGTTCCCATCCTTGCCCCGCCCCTCCCACCCTGGGGCCCCACCTCACTTCACCTCTTCCTCCAAGCCCCGCCTTTTCTCTCCACCCTCCTCGCCTCTTCCCCTGTATAGCGTTGCCAGGAGTCTGATTTCCAACCAGAATGACTGTCGAAAAAGGACCCCAGTGGTTCCAACATCGCCAACTGGGCTGCTGGTAGTCTGGCTGGTGGTGCAGCTCCCTGCCTGTCTTGGCTCCATGTGACTCCCAGAAGCAGCAGCACGTCGCCCGCCCGCTCCCACATGTAGGGGCAGACATGGGGCTCCGCGCACTGCCCCTGCTCCAAGCACTGGCTGCACAGCTCCCCATGGGCACTGCAGTGGCGGTGCCTGCAGATGAGGCAACATGCAGAGACCCCGGCCATGCCTCTGTGTAGGAGCTGGAGAGCAGTTTGCTACTGCTTCAGGAGCTGCACGAGGTAAGCACCACCCGGAGCTTTCAGCCCTGCCCCCCCCCCCTGCACTCCACCTCCCACCACAGCCCTTATCCTCTCTGCACTCTCTGAACCCCTCGTTGCCAGCCCAGAACCCCAAACCCTTAATCCTCAGCCTCACTCCAGAGTCTGCACCCCGAGCTGGATTTCTCACTCACCCCAAGTGCCCGTCCCAGCCCTGATCCCCTTCCCACCCTCTAACCTCCTCCATCCCGGCCGGCCCCAACCCCCCCAGAGCCTTCCTGCACCCCAACCCACTGCCTCAGATTGGTGCCCCTCCCGCACTCTGAACTCCTCTTTTCTGGCCCCACCCTGCAGCCCGCACCCCCAGCCCCAAGCACTTACCCACTCCCAAGTCCCATACCCTTGCCCCTCTGAGCCACCCTGGTGAAAATAAGCAAGTGAGTGGGGGTGGGGAGAGTGAGTGACAGAGGGAGGGGGAAATGAGTGAGTAGAGGGTGGGGCCTCAGAGAAGGGGTAGTGCATGGGCAGGGCGGGAGCCTACTCCCGGGTCCCCACCTCTTCCCCCAGGTCCCACAGGCTACTTGTTCCTCCCTGCCCCTCCCCCTGCTTACCCATAAGGCTATGTCCTCTCACTTCTAAAAGCGATGGGGCCATGGCCCTTTAGCCCTTCTGTGCCGGCACCCCTGGCTTGAGGGCTCCAGCCACTGCTTCAGCTACCACCCAAGGCGCACTGTCCACAGTGCTGTTTTTAGCATACTAAATCCAGCCCAGCTAGCGGGACCCTGTCTACCAGGGCTGGGAGGTTCCCTCCCTGCAGTGCAGTCCTTGCCCATAGCACAAGTAGTCAGAGTGCAGCCTTTACCAGAAGAACCGATCCTGTGAATCGGAGGCTGCAGGAGCAGCCATGTGAACAGGGCTGGAGACAGAGTTCGCCAGGCCTTGGGCGATGTGGGGAGGGGGGCTCAGCTCTGAGCCCCTGGAAGGGGTGGAGCCTTGGGCAGAAAAGGCAGGATTAGGAGTAGCCAGCCCTCAAGCACTGCCTGGACCACGCTGCGCCCCCAGCTGCCAGCCCTTGGCGCCACCTGGACTGCGCCCGAAAGGGGTCCAGTGGCAAGAGAAAGGGCTCAGCGCTCTGGTTGCCGCAGTGGCAGCAATGGCAGCCCATAGCCCAGGCTCTTTTAAATCACTGAGCCCCATGGCAACTTCCCCCCCACACACACACACACGTCAACAACAGTTCAGGCAGCCTTGCGACTGTTGTGTCCATGTGCGACTGTTTCTTGCAGTGCTTCTGCTCCCAGCCAAGGAAGGTGGCAAGGCACTGTAGAAAATCAATGTGAGTAATGAACACCTGACCTGGATTCCTGTGGGCTGCCAGATGCCTGACGGGTTTTTTTCCTGTCCTACTCCACCTCTAACAGTCGCTTGCTCGTGGCCACTCATGTACATCACCTAGAATTTAAATGCTATTAAAAGCCTCCCCCGGTTTCACTAGGAACCATGGATGCTTGCCTGACTATTCTTGACAGTGCTAAGGCAGTTTACTAAGCTGTCATGTAAGCACCCAAAGCACATAATCGCTGAGTGAGTGCTACGGAGCACATGGAGTACATTTGCACTGAAGGCTCCAGGGCTGCATCTAGACTGGCAAGTTTTTCCGGAAAAACTTGCCAGTCTAGATGCAGCCCTGGAGCCTTCAGTGCAAATGTACTCCATGTGCTCCGTAGCACTCACTCAGCGATTAGTAAAAGTCCTTTTGTGCAAAAGCTTTTGCGCAAAAGGGCCAGTGTAGACAGCTCAGATTTGTTTTGTGCAAAAAAGCCCCGATCGTGAAAATGGCGATTGGGGCTTTTTTGCACAAAAGCGCGTCTAGATTGGCACGGATGCTTTTCTGCAAAAAGTGCTTTTGCGGAAAAGCGTCTGTGCCAATCTAGATGCTCTTTTCCGCAAATGCTTTTAACGGAAAACTTTTCCGTTAAAAGCATTTGCGGAAAATCATGCCAGTCTAGATGTAGCCCAGGTGTATTTTAAAACACAGTGTTGTCTAATTTTGCTCAGAGCAACTACAGACAACAAAGTGGTTGAAACACTGCCAGCATCTGGCCCGCATTAGGCTCTCCCCAGGAAAGCCTGAGGTGCAGTGCTGGAGCAGGGTCATTTTGGACCTACTCTGGCACCTTAGCCACATTGGATTCTACCACTCCAAGAATCCCAGACCACAGTGTGTGTTTACCCGCATAGTACTGTGTAGAATGAACAGAATAGCTAAACATCAAGTGATCCCTCCTCTGTTGTCCACTCCCATGAATTTATCTAGCTCTGTTATGGTATTGGCCTTTACAGCATTTTCCGGGAAGGAGTTCCACTGGTTAACTGTGCATTGTGTGAAGAACTACTTCCTTTTATTTGTTTTAAACCTACTACCTATTGATTTCATTTGATTACCCTACTTCTTGTGTTATGGAAAGAAACAACGTCCCATCTAACCTTAGAAATTTGGAAGGGTCTGGAGAATAAACAATCTATTGATTCCTCCATACCCCATTTAACTGTAGTTATTAAATAAAACCTTATGCACAATAGTAGCCTACCACATAAATCCAGAGGAATGGAACTTCTCAAGGCCCTTTAAAACCTCACTGTGAATTCATAACAAAACAAAACCATAAAAACGAAAATATTACAGAGGCTGCAGCTGCACAAACAAATAAATGCTGTTTACCAGCAAAGATATTTAGTTACTTACTGACAGTCAGAAAATGTTGGCTTGTAATAAAATGGTGGTATTTTGGATTCATATTTTGCTTTTGCTACATTGTTTCCATTTGCAGCCATAAACTGTAAGAGACAAAACAAAAAAAATTAAGCAATTTTAACTCTAGTTTCTTCATCTGTTTCTACAGAGTAGTAATAGTATACAATTCTGCATACACATATGACAACACTCCACTGGGACTACTTATGGGAGCACATGCTAGGTCTTGTAATCATGTGTTGGCAGATAGGTCCTATAGACTGCATTTCTATAGCACTTTACATCAGAGAATTAAAAAGCATCTTGTAGATGTTCCATTCATTTCATCTGTTGCTATATTGTATCCTTATGTCCATTTTACAGATAGGGAAAAAGAGGCACAGAAGATAAAAATCTGCTTTTGTGACACTAACAGAGGTATTTCTGGTATGGAATGGCCCAGGGCAGTCTGTTTCTCATACACAGCAACCCTCAAATCATCCAGGGTCCACCTGCTACTGAGGTGAATTTCCATCTCTCTTAGTCGGTGTCATCATTTATCAGGCAGTTGATTACAGAAGCTGCTACAGACATGGGAAAAATCTCTCTTCCATCAAGATTGGATACTTCATCCCCATAACATTCCTGGGGCCAAATTCTGCCCTTAGTCACATGTGTGATCCCTACTGTGATCCTAATACTAGGTCAATGCTCATAACTAACGGGAGGTTTCTTCCATTTCACACTGAAGGATTCTCCAGGCCATGTTCTGTCTTTATTTGGGCCTGTTTGAGGGCAGAATCCGGCACTGAATCTGTTCTCTAGTGTTTCTACCCTAGTCAGATGACACATTCAGAAAAAGACTCTTTGGTTATATTGTTGCTTTAAAGAAATCTGTTCCTATTTTTGCTGCTTGCATAAGATAAAGTGATCAGCATCAAAATGAAGGGTGACACACTTCTGTGCAAAGCCACTCCAGTAACCTACACCTCCTGGAAGAGCCCCCCCATGGCAGATGGTGCATGAGGATGTGCTGGATTCGGCAGTTACTTTGTGTCTTAATTCAATTCAGGCTTTATTGTTATACAAGGACTGGGTATGTCTACACTACCCTCCTAGTTCGAACTAGGAGGGTAATGTATGCATACCGCACTTGCTAATGAAGCCCGGGAAATTCAAATCCCGGGCTTCATTAGCATAAGCGGGGAGCCGCCATTTTTAAATCCCCGCTGCTTCGAACCCCGTGTAGCGCGGCTACACGGGGTTCCAAGCAGCGGGGATTTAAAAATGGCGGCTCCCCGCTTATGCTAATGAAGCCTGGGAAATTCAAATCCCGGGCTTCATTAGCATAAGCGGGGAGCCGCCATTTTTAAATCCCCGCTGCTTCGAACCCCGTGTAGCGCGGCTACACGGGGTTCCAAGCAGCGGGGATTTAAAAATGGCGGCTCCCCGCTTATGCTAATGAAGCCTGGGAAATTCAAATCCCGGGCTTCATTAGCAAGTGCCGTATGCATACATTACCCCGCTAGTTCGAACTAGCGGGGTAGTGTAGACATACCCACTAAGAGTTATATCGACAAGGACCCTTGAAATTCTCACCAACAAATGCACAAAAGTGAGTTGATAAGTATCACCAACTACCGGTGCTGGCTTCCAATTTTCCCTGGAGGTGCTCAATCCCCCCTCCATCCCTACCCTCAAGTCCCCATGCCCTCACCCCACCACTTCTTGCCCCCACTCCACCCCTTCCCCCAAGGCCCCACCCTGCCCTGTCCCTTTTCACCCCAACTCCACTCCTGCCCCACCTCTTCCTGCCCCCTTCCATAAGCTTAGCCCATCCCTGCCGCTCCCCCTCCCTCCCAACTCCTCCGGTATGCTATGGACAGCTGATTCATGGCAGTAAGGAGGTGCTGGGAGGGAGGGGGAAGAGATGACTGGTGGGGCTGTCAGCAGGTGGGAGGCATAGTGGGGAAAGAGGAAGTTGACTGCTGGTAAGTGCTAATTTTTTTTCCATGGGTGCTCCAGCCTTGGAGTACCCACTGTGTTGGCACCTATGTCACCACCCCTCTTTCACAATCAGAGAAAAGGCGACACAGAGAGGGTCTGATCAAGGGATGAAATTCTCACCCCATTGACTTCAGTGGAGCCGAGATGTCTTGCAGTATTTTCATAAGTGGCCTCAGAGTTTGGGTGACAAGCTTAAGACCTCTGGGGCGTAATATTCAGTGGTACTGAGCACCCACAACTCCAACTGAATTCAACAGAGGCCTGGATGCTCATCAGTGATCACTCCTGAAAAAATCATGCCCAACATCCCCCCGACTGATCCCTTGAACGGAAGAATCAGAGTCAGTGCTCACTTTTGAAACCCTAGGCTTCCGTGACTTGGCCAAAGTCTTACCCCAAGTCAGCGTCACAAGGAAGTAGGGATGTGAAGGTTTAATCAGTTAACCGTAAGGTGAGGCTTACCGGTCAAGGGCTATGTCTACACTACAAAGTTAATTAGAACTAACAGCCGTTAGTTCAAATTAACTTTGATAGGTGCTACACATGCAAACCGCTAGTTCAAACTTAATTCGAACTAGCGGTGCGCTTAATTCGAACTAGGTAAACCTAATTCTACGAGGACTAACACCTAGTTCGAATTAAGGGCTGAAGGTGAGGCTTACCGGTCAAGGGCTATGTCTACACTACAAAGTTAATTAGAACTAACAGCCGTTAGTTCAAATTAACTTTGATAGGTGCTACACATGCAAACCGCTAGTTCAAACTTAATTCGAACTAGCGGTGCGCTTAATTCGAACTAGGTAAACCTAATTCTACGAGGACTAACACCTAGTTCGAATTAAGGGCTGTGTAGCCACTTAATTTGAAC